TGTCTTTCTCTAGACCTCTGCTTCCAGATCTTCCCCTGAGTCTCCTAGCCCTCCCATCATTCCTTAGAACAAATTCTGCCTAAGCTCTTTCTAAGTTGATTTGCTATGGTTAAAAATTAACTCTGCAAGCGAGACATTCACTAATTTGCTAGGAATCTCTTCCACCAGAAGGCATGTCTATACTTAAGTAATAGTTTCCTCATCTGTCTTTGTCTCTAGCCCTCAGCTCATCCACTGCTGTGTCTACAGATTTTAGCAGTGTTTTCTCAATTAGCTTGAGCAACAACTGCTTCGCATGTCCCCGCGATGGGCGGCTAGTTAGCAGGAAAGACCCTGGGTTAGCATGATGGAGTAGTGTCCCCATCTGCTGAGGATGCTGTTGCCACTTACAGATGGCAGGAGGGCTCTGAGTGATCTGACATGGAACTAATCATTCGGAATGGGCTGAAAGAATTGCCTGGTCAAGCAATCATCTTCCCTGTTGATGAGCAGATGGGACAACACTATGATTATGTTCTGATTTCGTGTTAGCCCTGACTGGGAGGATCATAGCAGGGATCTATGAGGCTGTGTTTGGGAGGAGGTGCCTGCTGTTCCTGCCATCCTAAATTCTGAGAAGTGAGTTCCACTTGAGTCCTAATACTGAAGCATTCTTGTAAGCAGTGAGCTACATGTGGACTAGGAGACAAGTTAAAGATCAAGTTCTTGCTCTGCTGTGTAAATAATCATGGGTCCTGGGTAATGAGCCTTTATGTAACCCAGTTTTCCCATCTGCAAGATGGGTGCAATAACATGTACTTGTGGGGGCTGAATACACATTAGATGAAAAGTAAGTTGTCAAAGGGTTTTAAAAGCAGGTACTGATGTTGCACGATGTTTTTATGTCTGTCTCATTCTTTAGGGAAAGTTTGGATTTAACACACTCCCTTACACTTACAGGTTCTAGGAAAGCTTACCCAACAACAACAGTGGGTGTGCGCAGTCTTACAGTAACTGAAAAACCAGGAAAACCACACCAGTTAAGTAACTAGCTATTCCATTCACTCATTCATTAATGCTTCATTCCTTCAAACACAGTGCTGGGGAATCACCGATGAAAGAAGGGAGATCTTTTTAGCTGCTCAGAGCTAGAAAGGGAGAGGAAAAAAAAAGCAAATAAGTGAAAGGAACCATTAGAGGGTAGCGTGAGACTGTGAGAGATACTAAGAAGAGGTTACTGAAATTTAACAGAGATATAGCCACTTATTGGGCATTACTGAAGTCAGGAAGCTTCACAGAGAAAGCTGCAAGGCCTAGTTTCGGGGGGCATATTTTGTGCCATTCGGTATCCATTTTAATGGAGGTCCCTGGCCATTACGGAATTTCCGGCATTTAGGTAAATATGTAAATCATACCCAAATTATATGTAAATGTGATCGATGACTCAGAGGCCATGATTCCAGGCTTCAAAAACGAGTGTGTTCTAGACTTTAACTTAATGTAATTGTTTCTCTCTTTAGAGTTACAAAAAGTTTGGGGGGTAGAAAACCGTTTTAATGGCTTGTACTTCCTGTCACTTCCTGAACTGTGGGGAATACATCTGAATAGCTAGCTCATAACAATTAACTGTCACCCTTGGCCAGATCCATGGCCCCAAAACATATTAACCTTGGTGAGTGGGGACTCCCCACGGCCCACACATTGTCCCTTAGCTGGAGTTTCAGAACACAGGGGTGTATAGACATTTCTGTGTGCATTAACTGTCTGATCTGTGGGCGTTTTCTCTAGATTGATACTATCTCTTCCACTATTGTGGACTTTTTTATTTCTTTCAAAAATCCCGAATCATCCCTTTTTCTTGGTCATCTTTAACCCTTTTAGACCTGCCTCAGTTCCTCTTCAGGCTTATCTGTGCTACCCTGTGGAAACTGCACACTTTCATTCATCCAGATTGGAAGGTTCACAGAACAGTGTGTCATGACCATGTGGTGGGACCCCAGGGGTGCCGTGGTAGAGACCTCATCCGTCCCCCATTAACTCCCTGCTAGTTTTCAGCTGCATTTAGTTCTTAACGAAGCACTCAAAGGTGTTGTTTTTGGACACTCTTCTTTCTGTGGGCTGTTTTTAATGTAAGCATCTCTGGAAAGCATTCTTAGGCAACCTGCTTGGCTAGCCGGCTTCATCCTGTGGTTGTGTAGGGGATACCCAGCCCTTTGTGAGGCTGCAGAGAAAGAATTAAATCATATTTGTGTCTGGAAAGTAGCTCACTTGGTAGGGCATGTGCCCAGCTTGCAGGAAGCCTTGGGTTCAATCCCCAGCACTGCATAAAGTGGGTGTGTTGCTAAAGAAATACCAGGTAGAGGCAGGAATATCATAAGTTCAATGTCATCCTGGTTACATGAGACACCATTTTAAAATGCAGAGAGGTAAACAAAATATTCCTGTCCTTTCTTTACTGGGTACCAGCAAGTTCTCAACTTTGAGTGTGTTGAGCAATTTAGCTAGAGCCCTGTATTTTATTTTATAAGCAATCTTATTTTATATCTCAATTCCCCCATTCCCTTGCCCTCCCATTCCCCCCATCAACTCCCCCCAACCCACCCACTCCCCAGGGATAGTGAGGCCTTCCATGGGGGACCATCAAAGTCCATCACATCACTCAGGGGAGGGTCTAGGCCATAATCTGTGTATCTGGGCTGCAATAGTATCCCTCCACAGGGAATGGGCACCCAAAGTCCATTTGTGCACTAGGGATAAACACTGGCTCCACTGTTAGAGGTCCCATAAACTGTCCAGGCCTCCTACCTGGCACCCACATTCAGAAGGCTTGGTTCAGTCCAATTCTGGTTCCCTAGCTTTAGGATCAGGGTCACTGTGCTCTCACTAGGTCAGGTCAACTGTTTCTGTGGGTTTCTCCAGCATGGTCTTGGCTCCTTTGCTCATTGCACCTCCTTCTCTCTGCAACTGGTTTCCAGGAGTACGACTCAGTGTTTAGGTGTGGGTGCCTGCTTCTGCTTCCATAAGATACTGGATGAAGGCTCTAGGATGGCATCTAGGGTAGTCATCAATCTCATTATAGGGGAAGGGCATCAAAGGCAGCCTCTCCACTACTGCCTACATTCTTATTTGGGATCATCCCTGTAGATCCCCGAACATTTCCCCTGTGCCAAACCTCTCTCTACACCTATCCTGTCTCCCTCTATCAAGGCATCTCCTTTCTTGCCTTCCTCTATTCCTCCCTTGTCTCAGTCCTCCCATTCTCCTCCCCCCTCCCATTCTCCCCCTCTCCCCTTCCCACCTCCCTCTTCTCCCCCTCCCCCCAAGCTCCCAGTTTGTTCAGAGGTTCTTGTTCCATTCCCCTTCTTCGGGGGACCATGCGTTCTTCTCTTGGGGGGTCTTCCTTGTTTCCTAGTTTCTCTGGTGGTGTGGCTTTTAAGCTGGACATATGTTCAACTATGTTCAGCATTGTTTGTAATAGCCAAAACCTGGAAGCAACCTAGATGTCCCTCAACTGAAGAAAGGATGGAGAAAATGGGGTACATTTGCACAATGGAGTACTACTCAGCGGGGGGGGAGAAACAAAAACAACGAAATCTTGAAATTCACAGGCAAATGGATAGAACGGGAAGAAACCATCCTGAGTGAGGTAACCCAGTCACAGAAAGACAAGCATGGTATGTACTCACTCACATATGACTTTTAGACCTAGAGCAAAGGAGTGCCAGCCTACAATCCACACGGCCAGCTGGAGCCCTTTTGAGTTGACTTTTATTTGTCTCAGAGGTTTCCAAAGACATGCTGACCCCATGGTTAGAAAGTCAGTCTCAGAGCCTATTTGCATAATCATCTGCAAGCTGTACAGTCAGCTGTAGTTGAACAATCAGGCTTTCTGTGACTCAGTTTCCTATTGTTAAAAAAAAAGAGTTGACCATAACACCTACATCTTAGGTTCGTTGCCATGATTAAATGAGATAGTATATAAAGAGTGTTTAACGTGAGCCGACATAGCAAACTCTAAAGTGATTATAGCTGCCTAGGAATAATACCCCCCATGACCCTTGTAATACTACAAGCCTCTTGTAGTGGCCAGGGATATTTTTTTTACTCCTGTGCCTGGCATCATATATCATCTGATCAGAAATGTGTTATTTGGGGTGGAAAGGACTGAAAAAAATACCATCACTATTCCTTTCTCCCAAGGAAACCACAGACTTTTTGGAGTTTATATTGACCTCTCCTCTCCTCCCTAAAGACGTGTCTCTAACCACCACTAACCTTCACCCACTACCCTACTCCCGTTCCAGGACACTGGAGTCACACTGTGGCTTCTGTTTGAACATGTGACTGAGAGGGGAGGGGCTGGGGGGCTCCCTCAAGTCTCCAATGGAAACTCTGCACGTAGCAAAACATGCTAATACGCACGTCCAGTAAATATCCTGGTACTATCCTAAATTCTGTAATCATCTCCTGGTCTTTGTTTTAACTGTCTCTTTGTTCAAATATTTATATTCTGTACTTGGGAAAACACCTTCTGACCGTGTCTTTCTTTCTTCATAAAACCACAGAGGTTTCTCTTGTATAAGCCATTGGCACACCTGATACATGCTTGTTCTCAGAGGGTTGGCCTCTGCAGCCCCAGAGGATTTCTGTGGAATTTCCATAGCAGTGTTAAAGACAGCCGTAGCAATGCCAGGGGTTCTTGTGAAATGTATGATTAGCGTGTGCCACAGGAATTAATAATTCTCAGGCCACTGTCTTAAGCCGTGACCACATTGTTTTGGTAGGGAAGTTGCTCAATCTATAGTCACAAAATGTAAACGGCTGCCTTCTGACCAAGAAACCAGCTTCATTTAAAATCCATATCCCAAAAAGGTACTCAGAGAATGCTACTTAGTATGCACATGCCATGTCACTGTGAGTGACAAATTATGGTAATTTCCTTGATAAGTTGATCTTTTGATTCTTTTCTCCATCTCCCAAAAGCCTAAGTAAATACAAAGGAAGAATGACATCTCTAAAAATAGTTTTTTAATGTTTTTATTCCTAGAGTAAAAAAAAAAACAAAAAATTTTAATTTAATAATTTTCCAGAATTATAAAAAAAAAATAATCCATTGGAGCTCGTGCCAGTTTAGGGTTTCTCAATTAAGCAGTAACTTTGGAAACATATTTCTAGCGTGATAGATTTTAGTAGGTCAGCATGCATACCCGAATGTATTAAGGTGGACTACTGTGTTTATTGATTTTCCGTGCATCTGCCGAGGGCTCAAGGCAATTGTCTGCGGAAGGGGCGGGAGGCCCATACATGATCGAGGTCATGCGCATCCAGCCAATTTGTAAGCTGATCCCCCGCCCAAAGCCATCAGCGATCCTTAGCATAGGGGCACACTCATGCATTCCTGTCAAGTCATCTTGTGAAAGGCTGCCTGCTTCCAGCTTGGCTTGGATGTGCAACCTTAATAAAAACTCACTGAGGACAGGGAGAAAATAGCAGATCTGCCGCAGATAGGGTAGGGGAACGGGGCTAGAATGTGTACTCGCAGCTGACTCAGGCAGCCTGCACGCCGAACGGTTACACAGAGAGGAAACAATAAATCTCAGCTACTATGCAATAAATATCTCAACTTTTAACGTAGGGAACTATCATTACAGTAAATTCTTTTTTTAAAAAAAGTAACGTTTTTAGAACAAAGCTAACAAATGGCTCGTTTTCTGTGGACCTTCTTCCGACGCTTTCTTTAAAGGGTGAAGAGTCAAACAAGCAGCAGTTTTACCTGAAATACAGAACTAGTTTAAAGGTCAGAAGAGAAGAGCGAGCTTTGCAGGAGGCACGGAAGGCGAGCGCTGGCAGTACAATGACAGTTTTCCTTTCCTTTGCATTCTTCGCTGCCATCGTGACTCACATCGGGTGCAGCAACCAGCGCCGGAGTCCAGAAAACGGAGGCAGAAGATATAACCGGATTCAACATGGGCAATGTGCCTACACTTTCATTCTTCCAGAACACGACGGGAACTGCCGGGAGAGCGCGACGGAGCAGTACAACACGAACGCTCTGCAGAGGGACGCGCCACACGTGGAGCCTGATTTCTCTTCCCAGAAACTTCAGCGTCTGGAGCATGTGATGGAAAATTATACTCAGTGGCTGCAAAAAGTAAGTGATCGCTTTCAGTTTCTGATTGCATAGAGCCCTTTCCGTTGTTCCCTCCGTGCAGAGAGCTCAGAGTTCCATAGGGGGGCATTTGTGTTTACCTTTTGCTCCGGGGGGCAGTGTTTGCAAAAGAAAAGGGGTTCTCTTCTCTGGGCTCCACTTCCTGGGTAAGGCAAGGATGCCGGGGCTTGTGAGAACCTCTGATCTTGTGACTGGCTTCTCCAAACACTGACACATTGTATGTCAGCGCTGGTTTTCTCTATCCTGAAGTTTATCCTGAGCCTTCTGACTGTCACAGCCCAACTGTAGGGAAAAAAAAAAAAAAAAAAGCGCGCACTTCTTAGGCAAGTTGGTGTAAAAAAAGAAATCATAATAGTGATGGTCGTGCGAACTGTTCAGCAAGGAGTTTGTGTGCTACCATGGGAAATCGTCATAAAATGTTTACTTCCCCGCCCCCAACGTTTATATCATGAAGTGAGTGAGTAGAAAGTGGTCGTATTGTACTTGGTTGGAAAGATTGTGTTTGTAAGTTAAAGGGAACTTAACTTCTCAAGCTGAAGAGGAGCAGGGATGACATTTGTCACATATTTCAACTGTGCATGAGAAAAAAAAATCAAGAAAACAGATTCTGATGGGAAGCCATAAGAAAGGGGTTTTGCCCACATTGAGGGTAGAAACTGAGCCCACGGTGTCTCCTGAGTGCACCTGCAGACTGGGCTGAACAGAAAGGAAGGCTGTGCTAATTCCTGACCAACCTCCTTTCCCTGGGTTAGTTACAGAGACGGTGCCCTCTGGGAGCCCCGGTCTCTTTCAAAACATTAAATTGAATGCATGTTTGATTCAGATTTATAGAAGGCAGATTGATGGGCACTGAGCCACAGGGCATTCTGCAGTTGCTGCTGTTAAAGACCGCCTTCTCAATGGTGTGTAGTTTCTCCAACTCATTCCCTCTTGACTGTTTAGCTACATAACAGGTAATTGCATGTTTCTGTAGCCATGACAGCATTCCCATTTGTGAACCCTTCTCCCCCAGGACCTGTGCTAAACACTGGGCAGGAGGATCGCGGGTAGATGGAGAAAAGACCAATTTCTGTTCCGTGGGGTCCCTCCCAGTCACTTACTTAGGTCTGTGCCTGCTGACTCGTGCCCTTTGATAGTTCTCCTTCTGTCCGCTAGGGACCGAACTAAGATCACAGTTGTTCCTTTCGGTGTGTGCACTGGAACTTGGCACGTCTGGCGTTCCCAAACTTGGAATGGCAGCTCCCTGCTCCAGATCACAGGTGAAAAGTTAAGACCTCTGCACGAAAAGTGGGAGGCAAACAGTCTTTAAGGATCATAGACACATTTCCCGGCCCTATTCATAGCATTAGTTTATAACAGAACATCTGGTTTTTCTTTGGCAAAATTCCACTCTACAGTGAATAAATGACTTTGCTTTAAGAGTTTGTTACTGTGGTCTATATCCCATCCACAGTGTTTTCAATGAGAATTGAATCATGATAAATTAGTCTGGGTTCTTTGAGGGGGGGACACCAGTGGGAAATACAGTTCTAAATTGTGAATGAGCTATTCTACCAAAAATGTCATGTTTTGTTTGATTTAAACATACAGTCAACACGGTGACTCACACAGTGATGCATATTTTTTTGTTGTTGTTGCTATGCAATTATTCAGCAGTGACAGGGCATATGCACAATTCTGCTGGGGTTACATCATGCACACATTCCGTATGTTAATTTGTTTTGGGAAATAAATTTGATTCTCGTTTGCTTTGTTCTTGGTCAGAGATTGTGGCATAGTTTTCAGATTATAGCCAAGTATAAGTATTAAAATGTTCCTTGGTTATGTCAATCCTCACAAGAATGAATCAAGCTGAGTATGTTGAAATGTCCTATTTGGTATGAGTCAGAGCAGTTGGCTTGGCTATTGTTTGCTTGGATTTGCATATCTTTTGTCATTGTTAATGTGATTGGTTGGAGGATCAAGTAACCAAATAAATGTATTCATCAAAGAACTTGCTAAAGACTCTCATAAATTTCCCTTAACTAGTGTTTTCTTCACCTCAGACTCTAAACTTCATGTAATATGTTTGTTTTGAACACCCATATACACACTCTTTTTAACTGTAATTATCTGGAATACAGTATTTATAACTTCTGCCATTTCTATTCTGATTGTAAGTTGTTGCTATGGGTTAAGAAGTAATGTACTACAAAAACCGATGTCAAGTGTACATACATCAAATCAGTTCATTTGGTTCAACAAGATTACTAATCCAAGCATGGTAAATATTATGCACTCGTGGCATCACTGTCAGGGGTTCTGATGCAGAATGAATAGGTTATGCAGGCTAGATAAAGCCAGGTGATTGTTTGTGGTGATCTGCTCTTATCCTTAAACACTGGTACAGTGGATCTTTATAATTACCCTTTGTAAGATGGTGGCCATCACAAGATTCACTTTATGAGACTCTCAACTTTCAATTACCCAACTTTTTCTGTCTTACTACCCACAAGCAAGTTATGCAAGAGAGCAAATGATTCATCAGTCTCTGTACATATCAGAACTGGATGATGCGGCTCCCTTGAAGTCATTTTTCATGATCTGTTGTTGCTGTGATACAGCAGAGAGCTGGGCAATTTTATGTTCCACATCATGGTATATGTTTGCATTTGAGGGTTCTTTATTACTTGAAGCTCCTATATTATACATCTCTTTGGGGGACTATTCCCAATGGTACCAGATGAATGAAAGTGAACACATCTTGAGTACCTAATAGTGAATATAAGTGGATGTTGGCTTTTTGCCATTTTCTGTTTTTGAGGGTTTTTTTAAAAACTATCTTCCCTCTCTCCCTCCCTCTCTCCCTTCCTTCCTTCCTCCCTCCCTCCCTCCCTCTCTGTCTCTGTCTCTGTCTCAGTCTCTCTCTGTCTCTGTGTCTGTCTCTCTGTCTCTATCTCTCTGTCTCTGTCTTTCTCTCTCTCATTCCTGTGGAGGTCAGAGGACAGTTTTCCCTTCCAACATGTGCATTTCAGGCATCAGACTTGGGTCTTCAGACTTGGTGGCAAATCCCTTCCCCTTCCGAGCAATCTCCCTGCTCCCTCTTGATATTTGCTGCTATTATTACCACTGCATTTTGTTACTGTGAGTTTTTATATTTGATTGCTGTTTAAGGCAAGGTCTTACTCTGTACTCCAAGCAGGCACTTGGAACTCACTATGTAGTGGAGTGCGGGGTGGCCTCATACCTGTGGCGGGTCAGCCAACCAGTCCTCTTGCCTCAGCCTCCTGAATGCTAGGTTTATAGAAGGTTTGGTTGTTACCACCGCTACCGTGATTCTTAATGCACATCTGCTGCGTGCCTGTGAGTGCAGGTGTGTGTACATGTGTGGACTCCAGATAACAACTGCAAGTACCTTCCTTGGGATCAGGATTTACCTACCATCTTTAAGAATGGTTCTCTGGCTGGCCCTGAAGCTCACCAATTAGAATAGACTGGCTGGTCATCTATCCCCAGATGCTTCCTGTGCCCCCTGTCCAGTGCCAGGAATACCAGTGAACACTACCATGCCTGGTTTTTTGTTTTGTTTTGTTTGGATTTGATTTTGTGTTTGTGAGTGCTGCAGATTCCGATTCACAGCCTCATGCTTGAAGGCAAGCACTTTGTGGACTGGCTGTGTCCCAAGTGCCTGACTGCTGGTCTTCGCCTGTTCTTACCCGCCTCTGACTTCTTGTGACAGAAAGCTGTGTGCTTACTGTGTCTTTTCCTCCTGTTTCTCAAAGTCCTCAGGATTGCTGGGGCTGCCTGTAGCTCATTGGCTGAGTACATGCCTAACATGAGCCCTCAGGTTCAATCCCAGGACTGGAATAAACAAACAAGGAAAAAAATTAAATTTGCAAAGATGTAGGTTTGGAGCAAATCCTTAGAAAGTCTGCCTTGCTTTTGCCAATCTTTGACTGTTAAAGACCACAATGCTAAGAAGGGGCCCAGGGGGCCCTTGTGTTTTCTATTCCTGGGGGGACTTCCTATGTATATGAAGCAGGTAGCAGGTGATTAGTAAACTAGTAGCTACTTCTTGTGGGATGGAGAGATGGTTCAGAGGTTAAGAACACTGCCTGTTCTTCCAGAGGACCCAGGTTCAGTTCCCAGCACCCATATGGCTGCTCCCCCATATGACTCCAGTTTCAGAGGATCCAACTAGTAATTCATTCTCTCGAATGCTGAAGGAAGCATAGAGATATGATTCATGTAGAAATAGGGAAAAGGAAGGCTCAGTTGCCAAGAAATGTTAGTAACAACAACTTGCTTTGTCAGGTTGTGGCAATGCCCCCACCAATTTCATTTGGAGAACAGGCACGTGATTTTCAAGCAAAAAGAAAGTCTCTTTTTAGTCTACATCAACTTTTCAGCCAATATATATGTTTGATTGTTTACTTGTTGCCCTTTTGTGATAGGAAGGAATAAAACCCTTTCTGGCCATAGAACCTGGCTCTTTGCAAACTTCTGCCCGATATTAATTCTCTCAGTAGACCTCAGGATTTAGGGCCAAGGCAAGTACTTTCCCAGGAGGCTCCGGCTAATCCTCATCCCTTCTTCTACCATTTCACATAGAACTTCCATTGACCAGTGCTCACCCCATAGGTCATTATTGGAGTGTGTGATGTAAAATGAGCACAAAAAGAAATGTTGATTTCTTCCTTAAAATTCTCCTAGAACTCCCCATGGTGAAAGAGCAAATTCCCAGTTCCTCACCACAAAGCCTTCCAACCATCCTCCCTCTACCCTTCACTGGCCTCATCATTATTACCTTCAAAGGACATTCCAGACACTCAAATGCCATGGCTTTTCTTGTGATTTCTCCAAGAGACAAGCTCATTCCCCCTCAGGCACTTCCAAACTATTTACTCAGTGCAGAAAATTGGTCCCCAGCTATTAGCATGAATGCATCTGTCCCTTTCAGGTCCTCACTCCCTCAGACATGTTCCCTGTGCCACCTTCTCCTCCCCAGCTTGCTGAGTGACGTGTTAGCATGTTATACTGCCTTATTTTTATAGTTTCTAAAATAAACTAAAAATACAGTTGAATCATTTCTCCATTTCTCCTCTCCAGCCCATCCCCCATATCCCCTTGAATTGTCTCTTGGATTCGTTACCTCTTTGTTTTTAGTTGTTAGGTTTGTGAATGTGTCAATACAACATCCTTAGTCTGTTTATAATTTTACTTGTATGCATATGATATCGGGACTGGGCACTTGGTATTGATAACCAAGTCTCAAGCTCTTCTCTGAGGAAGACTATTTTCTCT